GAGGAAAACCCATCAGAGAAAGAAAATCAGCTTTTATTGAACACTTATTATAAACTCGAGCAGACCAGCATAGCCTTTGACAAAATTTACATCCAAAACAGAATACAAGCAAAGTTACAAAATCGTTTTTTTAAAAAACACCAGTTTTGGAAATAGTTCAAGCTGAATTCATTTCAAATGATCCAAAATGGCAAGTTACTACCTTGCTGAACTGATTGCTTTTAGAACAGTGTGTAGTATGCTTTCCTTTCCAGAGCATGTGGTCACGTGCTCCAAGACGCTATCCAGCATGAAGGACACTTTAATAACAAGCCGTTTTCCTCTGCCTGAAATTTTAGGGTATAACTTTACGTAAAACACAACCTGTGAAAGATGATTTTTCTTTCTCTGGTTCTAATTCATATAATATGGAAGAATTATAAGAATTGCCTTTCTATGCTGTAATATAATTCAAACAAATAAATGTTGTCCATTCTTTGTTCAAGATTATACAGCCAGATGTGATCAATAACGCCACAAACAATCTATCTCATGTTTCTCAGTCTACCAGGCTGCACATTCAACCAATACAGTAAAGGACCCTATCTGAGTTCACGTTTCTGTATTTTTCTCAGGTGACTTATGTAAAAGACAAACTAAGTTCATTATCTCTTTGACAAGTGCAATCACTAATCTTTACTGGGGTTCAAACTGTGAGCTCCTGGTTGAGATCAGTGTTGTAACACTGTTCCTACACAAGCAACTATGAACAGTATACTTTAAAATTTATTTAAGATTTTTTTCAAAATTCTGCACAACCTTACATCTTAAGACAAGTTGAAGCCAAGATTGACAGGCATCAGGTTGTCAGATTTTGGATTTCTGAAATCCATTCACTCCCTGGCACCTCCCTACCTCTCCGACCTCTTCATTCCCCAATCCACCACCTCCCCTCGACTGGCACCGTCCTCCTGCTCGTCCCTCGTACGCTACGCTCCATCATCGGAGGTCGTGCTTTCAGCCACTACGCCCCAAAAGTCTGGAACACTCTCCCTCAATACCTCCGTCTTGCTCCCTCTCTCCCCTCTTTCAAGTCGTGCCTGAAAACTTTCCTCTTCGACCATTCTTACAGTCACCGCCACCCCCTCCCACCGGCTCAGAGTCACTGTTAAGCACTTTGAGATACTACCCTGCGTGGAGGGTGCCATATAAGTGCAAGTTGTTGTTGTCCATTTATACCTATTTGTCCAACTGTATGGGTAAAATTTAATTACATATCCATGTACTGTACCATTAACACAACTATTGTATGATTCTAGCACTCTGCCTAGACCAAAGAATTGCTTCACCATCCCCTTGTCCATCTGGAAGCAATGTCTACTTAGATTTAGTAGTGACTAATTCCTCTGCAAAAATGCAATATGCAATGCAGTAAAGAACTCGTTGGCATAACAGATGACCCCTATATATCATTATCAGGTGAGATCAAAGGAATTTGCGGAAGATGGTCTATATATATTTTCTTATACTGCGTTCCACACCGATTCAGCCTATCCACTTCCTGCTTCCTGAAAAAGTTAGTCATGTGTTCCAATTCAAAGGAATAGAGAGATTTGGCCTAAATCCATGTAGCCTTTTGTTGGTATCCTGAAAGTGACATCAAGTACAAGGTTCAGCTGCATTGTCAGGTTATTTGGAACAGTCTCAAGCAGGAAGCTGGTACTGCAGACTGGTATTCCATCTAATAGTCGAAGGAACCAGACTTCAACTGCACTCGGACCAAATAGAGTTAAATCCTGTCTTCAGTTTAAAACTCCTGTTTTTAATAAAAAGAATATACTGTTGCATTAGCTAAACAAATGAGAATATGGATAGGGAAAACAATAAATCAAGCAAAAGGAAATCCCCAAGTCCCACTGTAAAAAAAACTCATCAGTGGCTAAAAGTACAAGCATTGTTATCAGGCGAGATCAAAGAAATTTGTGGAAGATGGTCTACTATATATTTCTTTATACTGCGTTCCACCCCCTACTCAGCCTATCCACTTCCTGCTTCCTGAAAAAGGTAAAGTCAGGTGTTCCAATTCAAAGGATTAGAGATTTGGTGTACACATCACTGATACCATCTGAAATCAGAGTCCAAAAAAGCACAATAACCCAATCAATCAAAGGCAGATGTTAAAAGATCTTCCAAAGCTTCATTCCAGGAAAATGAACCACTTGCAATGATGAAATCGGTGATCGGGATCTTGAAGCCATATCAATGTCTACAACAACAACTTCACAAAGCACCTTTCACCTTAAGAGGGCGTGCCAAGGTGCTGGACAATAAGATTTGCAGCCAAGATGGTGATGGGTGGCGAGGGGGATGAGGGGAAGTGGTGGCATTTGCACTCAAAGCCCAACTGCCTGAATCAGTGGACCAAAGCGAGAATGGGGTTGATAGGCTCATAAGAGTCTTGGCTCCTGGGGAACTAGATGATCCCCAGGTTCATTTATTTCTACATTTCTCCTCTCAACCAGTGTTGACCCACCTGAATAAAATCAGTCTGAGTGTGGCTATGCATAAGAAAACATCCAAGTCAGGCACTGGCAATAACAGACTAGTAATTATGCCAAAGCTTGTGAAACGCACAGTGAATGTTGCAAAGTCTTAATCAAAGCCTTCGATTATCTTTTTAGTGAAACACTGGTCTGGCAACTAACATTACTATAGACTAGTGCCAAATTGGATGTCACCACAATGTTTCCCTATCAAATAGAGATACATTGTGCAGGTGTCCTAGAAAATCTTGTTTGTGACCCTTTCCTTATGGATTATTAGGCACTACAACGAAAAATGAAAATGTACTTACCCGATACATATATTTAAATATTCCAATGGTCCCAGCCATTCTTTAGGTCTTGTACTCATTTTCAAAGCACTACTGTTCTCCAAAGTAACACACAATGGCATGGCACTGTCTGCAAAGTCAAACACACCCCTACCTCAGCTCTATTGCCAATACGGTCTAATTTGCAAATGTGGAATCGTACATGCAAAAGAGTTGTGCTTTGTGACACCTCATTAGACCATCAACAAACCCCAATGTCAGGTTTGTTCGGCCACAATTGGACTTCACCAATGTCAGAAATGAAATAGTGGCCGAGTAGAGTTCCAACAAGCCAGTTCGAGTCACACACAAGTATGTATAGGATTCTATATTTATGAATTCTTTTACGAGTTCTCACAAATGATGTCCCAATAACAATATTTTGCAAGAGTAAACTACTTTCCCAGCAAACAGTGTGTTTAGGAGATGAAATGTATAAATGTAGTAGGAGACCAATGGCTGATAGTATATTCTCTTAATTAACCACTTGGCTCAGTCTTGAAGTTAGTGAGGCAAGTGGTCCCAGTCACTCAGTCATCACTTGTCAATGCCAGCAGAAACGAACATGCTCAATGAAAAAGTTAAAACCAAACTAGCCCACCTCTCCAAAGATAGCCCATAGCAGCGACAACAACAATATAGAATTTTTTATGTCGTGAGGAAGTTTTAAAGCATTTCGCACAGCTGACCTGAACTGGAGCTTGATGCTTTGAAGTCGCTTCCTGCACACTGTCATTGACGTCACTTCCTGCACACGTGTGCAAGTTTTGTATGCACTACGTTGTGCCAAGAAGAGACTTCAGCAACAACCTGACAACCCAGCAGTCAGATATTTTTAATGCAGGAAGCCAGACAGACAGTACCAGAATCTGGGAGTACTGCAATTCACGTTGGAGCAGATCCACTGTAGACCTGAGCTATAAGCAAGCCTATAGCTCAAAGGAGCTATAATAGGGTTCCCCTGTATTTTGCAGGGGAAAACAGTAATATTTATTAATATCATGCCTCTCTACAGTGTTTGCCCCAAAATGTCTTTCCTTTCCACCTCTATATTTACTTGGTTAGGGCACTGATTACCTTTTGGTGGCTAAACGTCATATCATCTGATCTCATTTTTACATAAAACATTCCCAGTAGTGCACAAGGGTATTAGCAAAGGGCCCATTGTGCTCCTGTGTTCCCGTTACAGGTTGTTCCAGGAGAAATCTTCCTGTGAGAGTAAACTAGGCCAGCTCATCGGTTGCAATGGTTAAAAGCTGACATTCAATCATCTAACAGACGCAAACGTAATAACAGCAACAGGTATTTACCCTAAATCGTTTCACAATTTTGCTGAAGTTGGGTTACAGTTTCAATTCACAAGTAGGTTTAACTGTCTGATGTCTATTTCTGTCAAGAGCAATAAAATTATCTTGGGAAAGCACCAAAAGCATGACTGGAAGTTTCAAAAGTTTTGCTAAGCATTTTTGTACTGTGAGTTATTGCTTACTCAGATACGGCCCTGTGGTTAAGGAACAGTTCAGCTCTTGTCATCCTAAGTAAGGATTTAGTACTTTATCAAGGATTAAGACAGAATTAATTTGGGTATACATCAGGTCAAAAATAAAGATATTTACATGACTACTAGATGGCTCATTTATTGATCAAGTACAATCTTATCCTCCTTTCTGAAGCTACTGTGCAATGCTCCCTGCAGTCTATAAAAGTTTTCTTCTTTGTGGTCACACACTCATTATTTGGCTCGTCTTCACAGTCTTCTGAGACAGCCGATTTTTCTCTATTGGGGTCACATTTCATAACACTACCTGGGTAGATTCCAGTTTACTGGAAGGGAAATGAACAACAGGACACAAAATATGCATATATACTGTGAACTCTGGGCATGACATGATAGCAAGCAGTTTGAGGCCACTCCTATGCAGCAATTATGTCTGACATTACCTTCTCACTATTGCTTTGACATATCACAAAATTACAACCACACCCTCCTTTGATATGCAGACTCTTTCACTAAATCAGCGTTTAACTTGGTTAAGAGTTATTGCTTGGAAAGTAATTGTTTTGTCATCACAGTACTTCAGGGGCAAATAGTGCTCAGTGGCCCATAAAATGATTACACAATGTATATGAATCCTGATGACTGCATTACCTGTGAAAAATCCAAACAAGTGTAGGGAAGCAAGTCATCCAGATGTCCGATGTCTTTTGAGAAGCGGTTCAGGATTCGACCTACAGAGAAAAAAAAAATCACAGTTAAATGAAGAACAGTTTTTGCAATGTTCTGTTCTCACATGACTATTATTATTATTATGATGTGACTCAGGTTAATTAAGTGACTTTGCCTTGATAAATACTATAATCTTCACAAGAAATCAGCACCTAGAAGAGGAAGAGTTTTTTTTAAATAAACACCTTTTGGCAAGTTTTGTAACACATCATGCTCAGTTGAGAATCTGGCATCTCCCCCCAAACCCTAAAGAAAAGAATCAGGTGGCAGACATCTTGTAAAGTTATTCTCAACAGATCTTGATAGTCTAGTATTTAATTGAGATTAAACAATCATCTGAATAGCATGTTGTTTTCATGCAATAATTGAATTTGGAGTTTGATAATCGTTGCATTTGAAATTGCGCCTCATCATGTCATTGAGACATTTCAAAGGCCTTTACAGGATATACTGTGAAGTGGATTAACTGTATTTTGTGGGCAAAACGCAGCAGTTAGTTTTGCGCACAACAGCGTCCCTCAAACAACCATGGTGTGAGTGACCAATTTTATTTGGAGAATTTGTTGGCCAGCACAGATTAGAATTGATGAAGACTTCTGTGGAGTATAAACACTGGCTGTTGGCTGTTTGTACCAAAAGACCTGTTACAATGGTATAGATTCTATGTAATTCTATGTAAGGGTGCATTCCTTATTTTTATTGAGGAACTAGCATCTCTGATTTCACAGTTCTGCACATGCTTGTGTATAGAGAGACTTCCAATAACAGGGGTTTTACCATCCCTTGTGCAATATGATCAGCAGCACGAAGTATAGCACTCGCTCTACATTGCTCTGCTACTGGAAGCAACAGCACTTTGACCCCAGAAGTATAATACTTTTCTCTACAACTGATCTTGCACTACACTTTTCTGGGCAACCATTGGGTTTCACAGTCTGACATTTTGGTTAAAACACATCATTAATGGCCTTTTGAAATGTACTCTGTATATATATATATTGTTAATAATATGGTTTTAAAAACAATGAGGTTATGTTCACTTGACCTTACAATGCACATTAAACTGATTTACCCTATTACTCCAGTGGTTGCAGCACACAGTTGCTAAAACAAGTTTGAGAGTAAAGCTGTGTTCAGTGATAAAAAGCCACTTCTCTAATGCAAGCTAATTGGAGCATACTGTATTCATTAATTTCTATGAAACCTAATCAAGCATCAATTTAAAGGCCATTAGTCATAATCTCATAAAGCTTGTCAATTGAAATGTTATATACAAAGTTCGGATTATTTGGCAGGCAAATACTTTTTATAATAAAAAATAATAATCCTTGCATTTGCTATAGTGCTTTTCCACGTCTTCTAGACGTCTCAAAGCGCTTCACATAATATACTGTAGTGAAGTGACTGTATATTTGTGGGTGAAACACGGTAGCCAATTGCGCACAGCAGTGTCCACAAACAGTCGTGGATTGAGTGATCAAATTATTATTGGATTTTTTTTCGCAAGGGATTATCATCAGGCGTGTGGAATAAGAAAACTTGTCCAAGGCTTCACCCTACCGGGAATCGAACCCAGGTTTCCACTTGTGAGGCGAGTGCTCTAACCACTGAGCTACGTATCTCGTTTAGACAAAGATTCATGACATCAGTGAATGCATGCATCCGCTTTATTGTGCAATAACATCAGATAAACGCTACAAAAATTCATATTGTTTCATGGAAACCACTCTCAAATAGTTCAAATCTACAAACAAAAACATGGTAAAATATTACGACACTCACTGGAGATTTACAGGCTATACCTGCACTTTGGTTTTAGTAGGTTGAAATTTGATAACACAATGATACATAATGATTCTACCCCACCTGTTTAAGATAGATTACTCTTTATTTAATTGAGAAATGATCCCAATTATGCCCTGAGCAGCTATCAGAGAGTCAGTGTAACTGTATCTTCACTTATATGGTTCTTTGCTAAGAGAACTGGAACAATAGGCATGTGATCTTAAGTCCATCCTCAGGGATTTTTCATACCAAGAAAATTGTTGACATATCATCTTTAATAAAAGTACAGAATCTAATCTTTTATCAAATAAAAAGGCTTAATGCCATAAAAGTATAGATTTTATTTTACATCTTTCATTTGGGCTGTTTCAATTAAATAGCACTGTGCAGAATAATAAATAAATACATTTCAATTTAATAATTCTATTTGAAACAGCAGTGCAATAACGGCATTAGACTCTCAATCCAGGAGTGCAAAGATCAAATATTACTTCTGAATGACAGTCACAATATAAATTGCTCTAAGGCACACGTCAGATTCTGGCAAGTCATTGGAGGATAGGAAGGGTAAGGAGGTTTGAAAGATTTTGATTTTTCCATTAATCAAGTACATCTCCTTGCAGGTCAACAAAAGAGCATGTCTTACTGCCTCTGTAGAGATCGCCTTGGAGTGAACCCACACTTCCTTCTTACGAAGGACTTTGCAAATAGCAGGAGATGGGGTAGAATGAAGTAGGAAAAAGGATACAAGGATACAATCCCAAAAGTTACATTAGCAAAATGTTACAGGCAAACATTATATCCAGAACTAGGAACAATTAATAGGTTTCCATTCTACATTGTATAAAATGTCATTCAAAAATATTTTGAATGTTACATTAGCAAAATGTTACAGGCAAACATTATATCGAGGACTAGAAACAATGAATAAGTTTCCATTCTACATTGTATAAAATGTCATTTTGCAATACGTGGTAGGCCCCTAAATACACTTCTCAGATTTATTAACCAGGAGCAGCTCAGAAATCAGTATTAATAATAATAATCCTTGCATTTGATATAGCGCTTTTCACGTCGGGAGGACGTCCCAAAGCGCTTCACAGAACACACTGTAAAGTGAATTGACTGTATATTTGTGGGCGAACGCGGCAGCCAATTGCGCACAGCAATGTCCCACAAACAGTCGTAGATTGAAAATGACCAATTTATTATTGTTTTTGGTTTTGGAGGGATTATTATTAGGCGTGTGGAGTAAGGAAACTTGCCCAAGGTTTCGCCCTGCCTGGAATTGAACTCAGGTCTCTCACTTGCAAAGCGAGTGCTCTAACCACTGAGCTACAGGACTCCTGTAGACAAACGCCTTCATGAAATTTAAATGTAAAATTCTAATTCTTCAAACTACCCTTTACACTGGTGTTTAAGCACATCAAGCCACTACCTCGTATGAAGGAAGCTATGCAAATGCAAGCTGTTGTTGTTAAAAATGATCCTTAATAGCTTCACCACTGTAAAGCTACTGGCAAAATCACCTCAAGACATACAGGACAACACATTATTTGAGAACCATTAAAGTCCAACCAACATGATGGTGAGAAGTGGATTTTACTATGCATGTGTGGAGCCAGTCAACTAGCTTCTTGCATGGCAGATGGTTGCTGCACTAAAAAAAAAAATTCTAGGTTATTAGGTCCTTTCCAACAACAGTTCCTGTTCAGTAAGACAAGAAGTAATGTCGGAGATGAGCTACTGACCCGAAAGTCAGCCATTTTAGTCCAAAAAGCCACCTGGCGTGTGGGAAGTGGGTGGGCCGCTGTGCACAACCAACTACAACGCAACTACTACTCTGTAAGCTTCACTATACAGAGTTTCCTTCAGGAGGTCCAAAGTACATTATGCAGAGGTAGGGGATCCAAGACTAAGGGTCACCTCACATTGTGTTGAACAGAAGTTTCTTAAAAACAAAAAAAATCACCATGCACAATACAGGTACATTAGTTGGTATCCACAGAGGAGCCACCACTAAATTATTTTCTTGGGTGCCCATGTCTTTCAAAGACCGGAAATAATAACAATAATATTCTTTGCATTTGATATAATACTTTACCATGTCATTGAGACGTCTCAAAGCGCTTCACAAAATATACTGTGAAGTGAATTGACTGTATATTTTGTGGGCGAAACGTGGCAGCCAATTGCGCACAACAGTGTCCCACAAACAGTCATGGATTGAGTGACCAAATTATTATCCCAACTGTACAGCGCCTTGGGACGTCCTCCCAATGTGAAAGGCACTCTATAAATGGAATCTTGTTGTTGTTGTTGTTGTATTATTATTTTTGGAAGGGGTTATTACGCCGAGAACTGCGATCCACCAATTGACTAACAACCGGGTCCGGTTCCTACTTCCTGCTAGGTAAACAGAGGCCTGTGGAGTAGGGAAACTTGCCCAATTTTCTCCCTGCAGGGAACCAAAGCCAGATCCTCTCAAGTGCTCTAACCATTAAGCCAGAGGACTCCACAATATATACATAAGATGTGTAAATACCAAGCCTTCAGCGTGCTGGACTATTTTTAAACTTAAAAAAACTAATACTTTTCACTTCTAAATCAAAAATTTGTTTTCTAAGTTTCTCCATCAACCAAACTGGCTCTGTAATATTGCAGCAATATACTGTACTGTAGCACTCTCTGCAACTCGTGATTTAAAAGCTTCATGTATATTGTGTGCTTATCTATTTCTCGATAGATGAAGTTCTGGCTTGATCGCAAATTTAATGCATGATTTGGCATTTTAACATAGAATAATTATATCTATTGTGAAATATACTCATAAAATCTGGGCTAATTGGTGAAATTTCAAGATGCCGTTCCATGAGAGTCAGTGTAAGTGTACAAATATGTACCTGACATACACTACTCCTTCATTGCACTTTGTTTTATTACGGTTACTGTTAAACAGCACAACAGCAATTAGATAACAGCAACTATAATAGCATAATAATATCAGTTCTATTGTATTAGTTACAACACAAGTACGTTTCCATTGAAAGTATTCTGCAGCCACACCCCTTGATAACAGATAAAGTCCAAATAACAACTGTGAAAACAATCGAAAACTATGATGTTTGTTTAAAAAGCAACCAAACAAGTCAATCATCACCACACCTACTACAGCTATTACAGTAAGAGGTTATTGTGTTACACCTCACTACCTTTATCCTGGAAAATCATGCCATTTGTGAGTCATTGTCATTTCATAATTTCTAGGCTGTAAAGCTTTCTGCCCCAGTTCTAACCAGTACATGCTCCAATTTCTTCAACCCGCATTATCAACATTATTAACCTTCTGATAAATACTGAACTTAAATTACCTTTTATCTTTGAAATAATCATTATACATGACTCAATCATGAGTTACAATGAGAAGATATCAGCACCTTTCCCCTTCAAGAGCTGCCTTCAACCCCACAAAGAACTTTGAGCCACGTTCATTCCTTAAGACATGAAAGGCCAAGTCCCAAAACTGCACAAAAACACCAGCTCTGGTCATGGGTAAACCGTGAAGTGGCAATTCATTGTAAAACTTGAAGATTACTCCTCTAAAAGCACCCACAAAACATTTATGCAACAATATTTAAAATTTTCAAAAGTCTAAAACCAATGTATCAATATATTCCAGATTATGCACTTTCATGGTTGGGGAGGATGGGGTCCAATTGTGAATAAGATTGTTGTACATAAATCGTGGATTCTGGTTTGTGGAATTCAAATCTGGCGAATCTCAAACCAGCAAAGTCTGAAAAAGGTAGTCAGCAAAGAGGATACAAATGTTTTGGACGAATTCCCCAGAGGCGGTAACACTCCTGATTTTTAAATACACATCAACACAAAATTGCTCTGCACAAAACCAGAACAAAAAGTGTGCTTCAAGACATTTTAATAGGTAAATAAACAGTTTCACTGTCTGTTTGCTTTCATAAGCAAGAAGGAGAAAGGTACTGATTTCTTCTCATTGTAAATCATGATCCAGTGATGTATAATCATTATTTCAAACATAAAACAAAAGATAATTTAAGTTCAGTATTTATTAGAACATTAATACATCTTATCCTGTTTGAAAAGATTAAAATAAACAAATAGTCCTTGCATTTGATTCTAGTACTTTTCACATTGTTGAACTGTCTCACAAGGATTTACTGTGTTGTAACTGTAAATGCAGCAGATAATTTGCACACAGTAACATCCCGCAAACATTATAACAAAAAACAAGACGGTTTCCCCAGCGCTGAATTTGACAGAATCCTTTTCCGAATATGATCTAGTCTTTCCCCAAAGTGGAAGAGATATGTGTCCAGAATGAAAAGACTGTTGCCAGCACAAGACAATCCTGTAATATTCCTCAGTAATAACAACAAATTGCATTTATATTGCACATTTCATATTGCGATGACAATTTCCAAGGCAATGAAATTAATTAATTTTATTTGTTTAATTAAATTAATTAATTTTATTAAATTAATTTGTAGTGCAATTTCCGATAAGGTCAGTCACTGAACTCTGTGAATCACTTTGGGAAGTTTCCATGTTATATCAGATGCAATTATTATAATAACAGAATTGTATTTTAATTTCTACTGATAAACTTGAATGAATCAGTGTATCAAAGAAACATTTCTCTTTTTCAACATTAACAGTTCTTCAGTTGTACTACAGACCAAACAAACTCTAGGAGTCTGTCGTTTTCCCCCAAAATATACAGTGACTATCACTTTACAGTATATCCGGTGAAGCGCTTTGAAATGTCTCAACGACTTGATAAGGCGCTATATCAAATGCAAGCATAATTATATATTAATGATTATTATTTTGTTATATTTAGAATGGTGCTTGTCTGTGGGAAATCTTCTTATTCATTCCTTATGAGGAGAAATGGAGAAGGCAACAAGGAAACAAACTACATAGACACACTATGAGTTCTGGAACCTTTTGAGAGTTGCTCTGAAAAGTTAATTAACAGTCGTGGATTGAGTGACCAAAATATTTTTAAAAAAACATTTTTGAAGAGATTATTACCCCCGGAAAAGTGATCCGTCATTCGACCAACAACTGTATTCCTACTTACTGCCAGGTAATCATAGGCATGTGGAGTAAGGAAACTTGGCAAATGTTTCACCTGTCCGGGAATCAAACCCAGGTCCTCTCGCTTGCGAGATGAGTGTACTAACCAATATGTTACAGGACTCCACTTTTTCTTAAGGAGAAGATGTTTAATATAATATTTTATCTTTGGCCAATCTGTTGCCAATCATGTTAGCACAGGCCATCCATCATGAAGACAATGGGCGACTAACTAATTCAAATGAACTCTAAAATGTACATATAGATTCCAAAACCTGGCTTTTCTCCACAAAGCATGAAATACTGCAGAGCATACCATCCCCTACTGGTGGTTTGACATAACTACAAAGATAGATTTTCAGTTTATTCTTTATTTGAAACATTTATCTTTAGATCTCTACTCCAGTTCATTAATTATTTCATTTACATTAAAAAAAATCTTTTCTCAAAAGGGAAGCTTTTGAAAAAAGAAATAATTCCACACTTACCAATAGGATTTTGGTCAAAGAATAAAACAGGAGCCCTTATAATGGAATTGAACATCCTGTTGTGTAATTCTTGTGATGAATTAACCAGAACTTCGAAAATCATTAAACTTCGGACAATTCCAAACAGTATCACAGCCAGCGTCAAACCTAGGAATGAAGAAATAAAACAAAGAGAATGCTTAGTTCATTTATCTGCTGATAGAGAATTGTTTTTCCAGCATGAATGTTTTACTGTCAATTGAACCTTAGCATGTATACTAAGAAATTAAATTATTTATATAATATAAATAAAATTACACAGTGGTGACCCACCAACCCAGTATTGGCCATTTTTCCTTTTTATTGTGGGAACCAGCTCGTGGCAGGGCACATGTGCAGTAAACCCGATATAGCAGTGATATAGGTTGGTATTTTATGTATCCAAAACATCTTGGGGCTCCACACTCGCATCGATTTTGTCTTTAAACAACTTTTCGGCCTGGTTCAATTGATAAGATTCTTGTCTCCGAGTCAGAAAGTTGTGGGTTCAAGTTGGGAATTCGAATTCATAGACTGGACTGACACTCCAGTGCAATGCTGGGTATGTGCTGCATTGTTGGAGGTGCCGTCCTTCAGCTGAGATGTTGAACCGTGATTCCACCTGCCATTAAAGATTAAAGATCCCATGGCAATCTTCAAAAAGAGAAAGGAGTTTTTCCAGTGTCCTGGCCAACAATTCACCACACTGCAAAGTAAAATCTTGTGAAGTGCTTTGAGAGGTTTCAACAACATAAGAACGAGCGATAACAAACGTAAGGATTTAACCTTTTTTATACCTGCGTATGTTCCTAAATAGAAGCCAAGATCCAGTTCCATAACAGTTTGATTTTGATTGAGTAATTCAGTAATGTTCAACTGTTCTTGATTTGCAGCCCTACAAAACAAAGTGAGGCAATCAGATGATTCTGACATAAGAATGTTTTTGCTGCAGTTTGATTTTTACTGTGTTTGGAATTCCATAGTTTTCAGTCACGTTAGTATGTACATTGTGCTGTATATTAAGGAAACATAATGTACAAGTGCAGACTGAGAAAAAAAACACAAACACTTAAAGGACATTTGCCTAGACTCAGTGGAGCGTTTAAAGATAAAGGTACTGACTGGTGTAGCACAGAATACATAATAGGATTTTACAGGTTACTTTACCTGTCTGTGCTGAATTGGCTGTCTGAGTTGTGTGGAAGTGGGGGGAGTGGGGTTGTAGGAGAGAGAGAAAGAAATGCAGCACTTTGGGAAGGGGGCATAACTCGTCTCAGCACCTGAGAGAGATGAAGGATTAATCAGAGCTCCTGATTCTAACATCTTCCGTCGATGCCTGCTGGAAAGTGTGAGAATGTACAGCTAGTGCATCGAGGCTACCAGGTCAAACAGCTTTCTGCAGGCACCCTCTCACCCTCTGGGCTCCCTCCCACATGTACAGCCACTTGGGTGAGATCCCAGAGGGGGGAGCATGAGGCAGCACCTTCAGGAAAAGAGAAAACTGGCAAAACAAAGTACATCTGAAATTTGCACCAATTTACTTGTAACTGTTCTTAATCTCCCGGACATTCCCTGTACAGCAACCTCCTATTTCCAAGAAAGCAGACAAGCAGATCCAATGATATCCAAAATCAGGCTGTACTTCAACAGGATGTTTCAACCAAGATCAATTTATAGCGTTTTTTCTCTCTCCCAATAATCAATTCCTAAAATCTTGACCAGAGAAAAATCACATTACTTAGAATATCCAGCTAAGGCTTCTCTCCCCACCTCCAGTGAATAAAGGGTTCTTACACTTCAATCTGCCCTTTCACCATTCAATTTCATAGATTATACTTAAAATATGTCCAGAATTTTTTTATTATTAATTTAAGGTAACCTACAAAGAGGTATTATTTCTGTAACCAGGGTAGTTGCCTCAAGAGCATTACTTTGATGGTCACTGGGAAAAGACCGAGGATTTACTCATCATATATCTCACTGCCTGATGCCCAACGGCCATCGTTGAGGAAATGATTGTTAATTCTCACACATAATTTGGAAATTAAAAAGGTAATTTGTTCCTGTTGAAGTTAGTTTAAATGAGTTCTTATTCAAAATCAGTTGAACAGTGGACCAAACAAAATGACTGGTCTATTAAATTGGCCATTGCCAATATTCAGAACAGCGTCTAGCAGTAAAAGCCACCCAGCACCTCGGAGGAACATAATGCCAAACAGAAACAATTTAAAAGCAAATGGAAATAATATTACTGTTCTGCTGTAAGACAATCAAGTTTTATTGTTAAATGCATATCTTTGCTTCCTAAACTTTAATAAAGTTAGTTTGAATCAGTTGTTAGCATTCTCAGTTCTGAGTCCGAAGGCGATCGGTTCACGTCACTTATCAGGATCTTTGAGCTCATGGTCTAAAATGACAGCTGGAGGTACTGTCCTTCAGATTAGATGTTAAACCAACGTCCCATCTGCTTGTTCAGGCGGACGTTAAGGATCCTATGGTACTATTCAAAAAAAGAAGAGTTTCTCCTTCGTGTCCTGGCCACCAAATCCTCCAGCTAATTGGTCATTCACCTCCTAACTGCTTATGGGACATTTCATATGCAAATCATGTCGTGTTCGCAACAAATGCGGTCAGTCACTATAGTTACTGTAAGGAGCTCAAAATAGGCAATCAAGGTGTGTCTATGTTTTTATTAATCTGGATTTGAACCATTCATCTTGCTTGCAATAAATATTCCCGCCCAAAGAAAGCAAAACTGATTGGTAACCTCATTGAAGGGAACAATTCTTACCAGTATGACAACCACCAGTCTTGAAGCACATAGGATGCCTGCAGCAGAGGATACAAAATGTAATCAATGATATTGTCCCAATAAATGATCCCAGTCACTCAGATACAAAACAAATTGGACAGTGATGTAAAAAGCCAAAAGTTGCCTCTTTACTTTGAGCATTGCAATCAATTATACCCTTTTTTGTGTACTAATTTACCACAATTCTGAAACATTCAAAATATGTAATTACTTGAAATAAATATTCTGACAGAATAAGAATGCAAATATTACATAATTGTGAAACATTAGAGCTGAATTTTTTGAAGTTAGTGTGGTGTACATTGAAAAGAATTTTTAAGATTCTCCAGATGGCACTCACTGATCCCGACAGTAGTTGCTCTTAAACTTAAACTACCAAATCCTTGTAAGTGAGCACAGATATTGATACCAGCTGGCTTTTTGGCCAAGGGGGTATCACAGCTGACTAAATCTTGTTCACACCTCATGTCCACACACGCACACTTTACAACAGGAATCACTAGACAGTGATCAAATCTGTAAAAGCTTAATTGATTTTTCCTTCTATAATTTATAGACATCAGATCCAATTGGTGGGTCTCCACTGCTGCTCAGTCCCAGATCAGTAAACTCCGCAGAGATCAGTGAGCAAACCTGGGATCTCACAGGTCTGTATTTTCGCTCAACCCAATCCTTCAGCCATTGGGACCCGATTGAAGATGAATGTATAAATGTCTGCACAGGTAACTATGATGTACTATCCTGTAGAATGCACTTAAGTATAGTTTCTCAAACTATGCAGAGCATCTCAGTGGAACTAGGTTAATTTCATAAATTGAGGGAGATAAAAAAAGCAGTTACAAATCCTGAACTTGGATCAAACATTATATTTTTTGGAGTGTTCAGAATTTTGTTCATACAGTATTTGGAGCACTGAAATATGGCAAGCAAACTATTGACAAACAATAAATCAATCCCATCAAATGTAACAAGTTTGCCTTTAAGGTGTTCACCAAGAAAGATTACATGAAACAATACTATGCATTTAGCTCTTTGCCTGTTGCAACTCTATATCCCAATATATATTCAACAGGCCAAAGTATATAAAAGAATATTTACATAGAATGATACAGGATGCAAACAGGTCGTTTGGCCCAACTAGTCCATGACAGTATTTATACTTCGCACGAACCTACACCCGACTCTCAAACCCATCTAAACCCTTCTCTCTCTCATGAATGCAATTTGACATTAATATTTCGCTAAAAATATAAATATTTAAGCCAGTTCAGACTGTTTAAATGTCTCCAACGAAATGTGTTTGAACAGTATCAATAGAATCTTAGCCCCGATCAAAGCTTCACAATGGTGTGGACACTGACTGGTCATCACTCACAGAGACCAGAGAAATGGGGGGAGGAGGGGGGCTGTGGGGGGAGTTCTCCTGAGGTTGGGAATTAGAGTATCCTGCACCTGCACTTCACCTGGTCAATGCTTATAAAATTCACCTGGATGTGTATTTGATGCTGTAATGGATACAAAATGTTCCTTCTTGACCATCAACATTCCTCCCTCTCTTCTCTCCCCCCCACTCCCCCAACTTGGATGAGCACAAAACAAATCTTACTGATAAGAATAAAAATATGGAACAATTGTAACAGTATTCCATTTTACAGCACAGAATGAAATTGACGTTCCACAATGTTGGAACGTCAATTTCATGTTGGAAATCATCTTTAATGTTGGAAATCCCATTCATCAGAAACATCTTTCAAGTAATAATATAATAACCTTCGATTTGATATAGCGCTTTTCACATCTTATCGACGTCTCAAAGCGCTTCACAGAATAGACTGTAAAGTGAATTGACTATATTTGTGGGCAAAACGCGGCAGACAATTGCGCACAGCAGTGTCCCACAAACAGTCGTGGATTGAAAATGACCAATTTATTGTTGTTTGTTTTGGAGGGATTATTATTAGGCGTGTGGAGTAAGGAAACTTGCCCAAGGTTTCACCCTGCATGGAATTGAACCCAGGTGTCTCGCTTGCAAAGCGAGTGCTCTTAACCACTGAGCTACAGGACTACAGAAATAAATGTGTTCATCAACAAAGAGATCACCTACCTGTGCCAACAAACTGAGGACAAGAAGAAAAAACAGCACAAAAGTACTGGCTCCTGCTGAAAAATACTTCTTATAAATCTGAAAACCAACTGATCCCTCAGAACGGCTCTCTTCCGGTGTTGCTGATAGTACTGGCTCTCCCTGTTAGGCAAACAAGATAAACAAATGGTGTAAAGTAGTGAACTAAGCCACACAGCTTTCTCATCGTTGTAATGGCTGAAAACCACAAGAGCTCAACATCTTCAGAATTTCTTCAAAAGGTTATTTGTCGGTCATGTTAATCCGATTAAAGGGGCTGCCCCTATAGACTACATATTGGTCAGCCTGTAGCAAGCACGTTTTTTTCAAATACATTTTCTTTAAACTAAGATATGAGCTTATGTATACATAATAGTGAACAAATAGGCAAGAGTGAGTGATGGGTTGTAACGTGATCTTTGGGTTCATATTGCAGCTATAAGTCATTCACTCTTACAATTATACCTTTGTCTCCACCTCAATTGGATAAAAGCTCTTTTTTGTCAGATGGGTGTCTGACATGTACAAAACCCCCTTTCTGTGCTTAAGAGTCTCCAATTCCAAATGCTGAGAACTCAAAGAATGTTTCTGTTTGCTAGTTCTGGAGTGGGAGGGAAAGAAGGGAATAAAACCTGCTTATCTACTGGATATACATATGCAGCTTAGCAGAAGCCAAGAAAGCAAGGACCCCAAATTGTACAATGGGCTACAGCAATAACTTGTGTGTGTCAGCTTGACTCAGTGGTAGCACTCTCTCTTCTGAGTCAGAAGGTTGTGGGTTCAAATCCCATGTTGGGACTTGGCACTGTCGGAGATGCCGTCTTTCGGATGAGAAATAAAACTGAGGTCCCGTCTGCCTGCTCAGGTGGATGTCAAGGATCCCATGGCACTATTCAAAAAGAGAAAGGAGTTTCTCCCAGTGTCCTGGCCAACAATATCCCAAATAAGATTGGTAATTCACTTCATAGATGTTTATGGGAGATTGTGGTGCACCATTGTGCTGCTGTCTTTACCTACAAATACAGCCACTCCATTTCACAGTAATTCCTGTGAAGTACTTTGAGATGTCCTTCCGACATAAGGTGCTACATGAAATACAAGGTTTATTATTATAACTTAACCTGATAGATTCACGCATGTCCAACGCTATCCTTGCGAGGGTTGGCTTTAGGGGTTATCAAAAGCCAAGTTGCAAGATGTCTACCTTTCCAAGGTCCACTGATAAGCCGAGAAAGTTGGTCAATATCACCATTTGCTCTGACATACTGCAGAGCTGTCTGGATCAGATACACTGAGTCACCAAGTCGGTGAAGGAGTTGGTTCCCATGTGCTCTCTCTTTGCCAGGCATCTCACCCAGGAGCCAGAGAGGCTCTTGAGAGACCCTGCTTACATTGTCCTAGTGAATCCCATTACGAAACATTATTTTGACACCATTATTGTCAAACTAGTGAAGTATTCAATTTTTCACACAATTATGTGCAAGCTGAGCTTCAGTGATGTAAATACCCCTGACTGTCCAGCGCCCTGGGACATCTTTCCAAAATGAAGGGTGCTATAAAAGTGTAATTTGTTGTTGTTGTTGTAGTAAAACTAAATGAAGTTGTTTGTCCATGGGTTTAATATGTTTTTGAGTGGCATATAGAACTTCCCAGGGATAGGACAGTCAATCATTGTGATGGCTTCCAGGTTCTTCCGAGCAGCTTTGGAACTGCTCCTCCGTGTTTATAGATGCTGTGTTTTTATTGCGGGATCTCCCTGGGGCGAAACTGGCAAAACCAGACAAGCTGTGCATAAATCCATGGCAACTGTTGGCCATTGACCAGCCTGGCTGTCTCATCAAAGAAACTTGGAGGTGTAAACATCTCCTTAACCCTGTAAGCCGAAGTCCAACAGATAGAATGTAAAGTAGGTGATCAATTGAAGCTCATTGTGTAACACCCAGTTTGGTTCTACTAGATACAAATATCCAGTAGCAGAAAGAAGCCAAAAACAATTTGTAAGTACTGCAAAAATTGCATTTAGTAAACTTGGTCATGAAAATGAAAGCAATAGAATGTTGTCCATATACATTTCCTTACCGTATTTCTTTCATTTTCACCACTAGTGATTATGGCAAATAGTTATTCCAATTTGGACCATTTGTCTAGCATGTTTTGACTGACCAAATATATCAGTAGAACTACTAGAAATATAAACTGTTTTTTCAATATTAAATTGTTGAACTCATCCAGTTTTTAAATATATATTTATTATTTAACACATTTAATAAATAAACCTATGTCAAATTTTAACCAGGCCTAACAACCTCTTATAAACAGGTGTCTACAAAATACCGTCATGCACTTTGCTTTGAGATGTCCTGCTATTGTGAAATGCGCAAAATCAAACATAAGGAAATTGTTATTTTATTAACAAATGAAAATAGCTCCTAAAAATACAAACATTTGCACTTACCACTGGTTCAAGTATACACTCTTGGATTGATTGTGCAGAGGAGCCCAGAGAGCCCAATGACAAGATAGAAGTCTGAGAGAGAGTGCGATTCCTGGTTGACTTTAACATGGGTTCAAGGCCTGTCGATTCATCCTCCTCTTCATGTTTCAGCAGAGAAGCAAAATCAACTCCAGATTTCAATAGTTCTGTGAACGTCCCCTTTTGAACTACCTTGCCCTAGAATTTATTATCAACAGGCAATTTAAACATGCAACACAATCTAAGCAATTGATATGTTTATACCACCACATATGGATAGCGAGGACAGTAGATTAATATAAAATGTGCTGCATACCTTAAAACGTAAATCACTCATTCAATATTTATTTGTCACAATCAAAGAAGGTGAAAATATAATAAACAATGGAAGAATTGCCCTTCATACATATGCATCGTTTGCAAATGTTTCAATGCTATGAATTAGAGATACACACACACACACACACACACACAAAGTATTACATATGCATATACAATAATAATCCTTGCATTTGATATAGTGCCTTATCACGTCTTCGAGATGTTTTAAAGCTCTCCACAGAGCTTCTACTGTAAACTGTATTGACTGTATGCTTGTGGGCATATATATACACATATATACACACACATTATATACACATTATATTATATATTGTATTACATATATATTATACACACATTGTATTGCTCAGGTTTCACACCACCTATATAAAGGTTGTGGATTCCCGTAGCGTAGTGGTTAGCACGTTTGCCTGTAAGCGAGAGGACCTGGATATGTTTCCCGAGTAGGGCAAAACCTCAGGAAAGTTTCCTTACTCTACACACCTGTTTGCTTAGCAGTAAGTAGGGACTTGGTTGTTAGTCGATTGGCGGATTCCTCAAAAATAAAAATTTTGTCACACAATCCACGACTAATTGTTGGACACTGCTGTGTGCAATTGGCTACAGTGTTTCGCCCACAAAATAGTCAATCCACTTTACAATATATTCTGTGAAGCGCTTTGCGACATCTCAACAATGTCATTAGGTGCTATATCAAATGCAAGGATTATTTTTATTATAAAAACAGTTTGAGACATTATTCCTTTGAAAGGTGCGATATGAGTAATAATTTGTTGTTATGGCAAAAATCAGAAACACAAATAAAATAACTATATACTAGTAAAGAGACCCACCTGGGATAGGTATTCAGGAGGAGGGCTTATGAAGGAGACAGGGTTTGTAATAAGGTGATGTTGGCAGCAAGTGTAAGTATAATTTATGTTTGTGAATGAGTCTCAAATATATTTTATGAGTCTCTGCCTTCTGGTTAATTTCTTTCTGACTTTCTCTGTCATTGCCTATCTCTGTCACCCACTGTATCCCTATCGCAACTGCCTGTGGGTAACTATATTTCATATTACAGATGTCATGATACAACGTTAGATCTCACCATTTATGCATTAGAGATTTATACGACTGATAATACTATTTGTTCCTCAGGGGTCCGTGCTGGGGCAGATGCTATTTACAATGAATAAAAATGATTTTAAAGTGGTGACAGAATAAACCCTATCTAAAAGCTATTTGTTGATGACAAGAAATTAAGTGGAAGTGTAAAAAAGAGGACTGACCAAGCAGAGGACCCTGGATAGATGAAAAGGGAGGTTGGCTGACAAGTTGCAAATGTCATTTAATGTGAACAAAATCGAGTTGAAAAATAAACCAAATGGTATCAGAATGTAAGATACATCATGGAAAACTGATCTGGGGGATTGCTGGATAGATCGCTGAAACCATCAGTGTGTGGCAACAATAAAGAGTGCAAACAAGATTTTTGGGTGCATTGCTAATGAGAGAAGGAAATAATGCATCATGCAAAATACCAGTGTTTCTTTTACAAGTAAATTTACATTTTTAAAAAAATGTAAGACCTACCTCTTTTATTATCAGAATGTGGGTAGCTGCACTTAGATATTGAAGTTGATGCGTCACCAAAATGCGAGGCTTATTTTGCAAAATCCCAGTGATACACCTAAAACATAAATGAGGAAATAAAAAAGATCAGTTCTGATCCAAATCTTGCTTCCAGTTATCCTGATTAGATTCTTAAGACATGGCATCAAAGATATAATTTGCAGATTTAAAAATACAGCAATATTATTTGTGTTTACTGTATAAATTTGCTAATTCGTGCGGGAGTATGGATGAGTATTCCAGAATCAGCCCAGGTTCTCAGTTCACTTCCCAAAGAATCCTGGGTTGACCTTGGGTGAGGATAGGACTGGGCTCAGTAGTGTTTCTCAAAATATATGATGTTTACCTCAAGACTCAACTATGGAAACTCTTCCCTCCACAAGCTGCAACTCGTGTCCTCTCCTGCACCAGGCTCCGTGACTCCATCACACCCACCATCACCCGGCTCCACTGGCTCCCGATCCCTCAGAGGACAGAATTGAAAATCCTCGTCCTCACTTTCAAGGCCCTCTACGGCCTTGCCCCCTCCTACCTCTCTGACTTGCTGGCCTGTCCACTCCCTCCGCTCAGCAGTCTCCGGCCTGCTCCAGATCTCACGCCCAACCTGCCCTACCATAGGCGGCCGGGCTTTCAGCCTCTCTGCCCTCATCCTTTGGAACTCCATCCCACAATCCCTTCAACTTGCTCCCTCCCTTTGCTCCTTCAAGGCACGACTCAAGACCCTCCTTTTCGACTGTGCCTTCAGCCGCCCTCCTACCTCTCTGCCCTCCCGCACCCAACTCTGCCCCCCACCCTCGGGTGCTGATCCTTGACTGTTCAGCACCATGGGACATCCTACCAATGTGAAAGGCGCTTTACTAATGTAATTTTGTTGTTGTTGATTACAAAGTGTACTTTTCTTTGGAGTGGCTTGTCAACCATTCACATTCACCGAAGACATCTGTGATACCACTTGTTCTGCAAGACAAGTATGTATCTGAATCCACTCACTGTTCAAACAGGTGCCTCCCAACTTCTGCATCTACTGCACTCAGAGGATCATCAAGTAAGTAGATATCAGCATCCTGATAAACCGCTCTTCAGGAAAAAGAAACGTCAATTAAAGTGAAACATATTTTCCTTCCTAACACGTATACAAACTCAAAATACTGCAATCTCAAGACCAGTTTAGTTGATAACCTATTCTTATTATCTTTATTGTAAATATTTCAGTAAATACCCCCGACAACAACAACTTGCATTCATTTCACACAGGGTAGCCTCTCAGAGTACTTAATGGTGGTGGATCCGATGCCGAGCCAGGAGGAGGTGACTGTAAGTATAGTCGAAGAGGAAGGGCTTCAGACGTGATCTGAAAATCGGGAAAGATGGGGCAAGACAGAGGAATTGAGGGGGAGAGTTCCAAAGTTTCAAGGCGTAATGGCTGAAAATTCTGCCACTGAAAGTGGAGCGAAGGGGATGAGGGACAAGCAGGAGGCCGGAGCCAGCCTAGCGAAGACAGCAGGTGGTGGAGTGGGGAGTAAGCAGGTCGGAGAGGTAGGGAGGGTCAGGTACACTTCCATAGCGACACCTTCCATTATACTGAGATATCTTATATTAAAACTTTTCTTTGATATAAGTCAAAAATAGCTCTTATATTTAATTTTTAAAAATTTAGCTGCACAGAGCAAAAAACAAGGTTGATCTCTGGGAATAACTTTCATTAAAGGTTTCCTCTAAGCACATGCTAAGTTACTAGCCTCTGAGCTACTGGTATCTGCTCTATGCTTCTACCTCGCCAAATTCACTCGAGCTTTCTGTCCCCCACTGAGTGTGACTCCACGATCTCCAATCTGGGTCAGGTCACCATCTTGAAGCATCTGCATATCCTATTACACAAATACACAAAAAAGACATTTTAAAGGATTCATTTGGAAAACAGACATTTCCGAATTAACCAATTTACAACAACAATTTAAATTCATTTGTGCCCTTCACTGACTATTGAATTAAAAAACTAGTGAAAATAGAAAACAAAATGTGCATCTTCAAGCAAACCATATACAGCACTAAGTGTAAATCAGAAGGATTTTACTGCACATCCAGTAAAACATATTCCCTCCAACGCATTTTATGGCATTATTTAGTTCTAAGGCAAACAACGAATTCTCAACATATGCTTCTTCTTTACTTCTGATTTAAGTGTTAAATGTTGACATATTTGCAATTTTGTTGCTCTGCCCATGTGTTACTTTCGAGTGCAAATACGTTTCAATACTTTGGAATACGTTATCCTGAAAAGCTTAGATGACAATGTTATATGCAAATCATTGTTTTGACTGGTTAAATACACAGGATAACATAATAATAATCCTTGCATTTGATATAGCGCTTTTCACGTCTTCTAGAGAATTGATTAAAGTGAACAGCCAACTGCGCACAGCAGTGTCCCACAAACAGTCGTGGATTGATGTGACCAATTTATTGTTGTTTTGTTTTGGAGGGATTATTATTAGGCTCTGTGTGGAGTAAGGAAACTTGCCCAAGGTTTCGCCCTGTGCCTGGAATTGAACTCAGGTCTCTCGCTTGCAAAGCGAGTGCTCTAACCACTGAGCTACAGGACTCCACGATATTGAAAGATCTTCAAGATGATGTTAAGAGATAATGTTCTCTTTTACATTTCACAGTGACCAGAACTTTACTAACTACTCTAGGTGCAACCTGGCTAGAGCAGCATACAGCCTCAGTACAGCTTGGTGGAAGTTAAACATTCCCGATTTGGCAACGTAGAGCAGCTTCCTGTTTGCTTTATTTATTTATGGCTCCCCAGGCAGGAGCACCCTTCCGGTGCCTCACCCAGTCAACAGAAATCAGTAATCACTTTGCTACGGAGACCATCAAAGCAAAGTCTGATACTCTTCTCTCCTGATCCCTACACACACTCACTTTCCAGCGTTGGTCACTGGATGGTTATTAGAAATAGAATCCAGGATAATTTTTTCCTCAACCCTCGCTAGCCCAGAGGCACTGAGGCCAATTACAGTCCTTACCAATACCATGCTGACACCAACTAACTGAGCATATAAGATTATGTTTAATTCTGGATGTTCTAAGACTCTACATTAATAGAGTAAATTTAAACTCAACTGGAATTTCTGACTTATTAATTAAGAAACCTTTCTTAAAGGCATGTTTATGTTAATTCATACAATACTATTCCTCCAGTGAAAAAAAACAGTGGTACTCCACAGTCAACACTGAAAAGCTTAGATGACAATGTTATGTTTGGCTGGTTAAACACACAGGATAGCGTTTTGAAAGATCTTCAAGATAATGTTTATTCCATGAACTGAGAAGACCACCTCATTGTTCCAGATGCCTACAAGTTTCCATCACAAGTGAAATTAACAATATAGATATATATATACTTTTAAAATATCCTGTTTAGCATTCAATTTACACAGTGGATATATTCAATTTATTTGATTCATTTTTAAAAAAAAATCAGGACTGTTACTGGCACTGGTAGCCAGGGTCAGCATGCTTGACTGTGGCAATGTGTCAGCTCTGTAGTATAGTCTGATGCAACAGATTTGTGACATCAGACTTAAAAGAGATTATTATGGCTTCAATTGACCAGGATTTCAGGTACAAACTGTTTAAATTTGCAATGGCATGCAAAAGAGTAGATCTTTATCACAGCTGTAATCTTGTGCATGTGAGATAAAACCTGCGTTCATTAGCTATATCAACGATTTATCATGCGAGACACTGTCCGCTATATAAATGCAAGTTGTTGTTGCTGTTGGTTTTGATCACTCACATCATATTGAAACAAATTTATTTTAAAAATGAGAAATTCTCTTCCCTCTTCACCCTCCGCCACATGAACACTTCCAACTTAAATCAACGGGGGAAGAATAATCCATGGGAAAATAAAGCAAGTCGTTAATACATTGAGGATTATTAGAAAGTAGAGAAGATGCTTTAAAACTCTTGAATGGGAAATGTGAGCTGCTGTTCAGCACTCTCCAGTGGCTGGAATCCTGAAAATCCCCTTTGCAGAAATGAAATAAATCCACATAAGTGGATCTCACTTTAAGCAAAAAGCTTTATATGAGAGTGATGTTCAATCAGTTCTCGTTTCTATCTTGACAATGCGGATTTGTTTTTAATTGCTGAAAGCCTCTGCATCTTAAGAGGCAGCACGATGAGGAACTCCAGGCAAACGTGAATGTCAGAGACAAAATAGTTGTAAAAAAATTAAAAGAAATTCTAAATTTCAGGATAAAAGGAGGGGTACAGACAACAAAACACTGCAGTGTGGTATCACTGTGAAGAGGAGCAAGTAATAGCCTGGAATAGAGAGATACAGTAGCCTGAGGAAAGAGCTGAGTCTTGGCAAAGTACCATAAGTCATATGAAAGCTCCAGAAAAGGCAGCAACGGTTAGGATAGCAAAATATCCTGGATAGAGGCTTGCAGAGGTAGAACATATCGCTGTAGTACTTGATGTAGAAATAATAAATTGCCCTTAGGTGACATAATAAGGTTTGCTATATTTGAGTTGGTAACGTGGGCTGCAAAAATATAAGGTGCAATTTGTGCATGGCTCATGCAAAAAAGTTAACAGAAACACTTTTGTTAAATTGTTAACACATTTGATTCATCACTTTTGTACGTTAAGAAGAGTACAATAGTAGGCAATTGTAACAAGGCCAGACTTCGCAAAATAGTCTCTGTGCTGGATACTTGGAAAACATTGAGTGAAATGGTATTGGAAAACATGGTCTAGTGTATGAATTGAGGCAACTCCAATTCATTGAAGAACGGTGAATACTCCCTTTGAAATGCTACAAATAAAGAAACAGTATTCCAGGCAATATCTGGGGGGGATCGAGAGAGTTTAACAGTCAAGAGAAATTGTATGCAAAGCTTCAGCACTTGTATTCAGTTGTGTTTGCAATGACTGAAAAGTATATGTATTATATTGTGCATTGCATATTCCCTTTATAAGCTCGGTAATTTACCAACAATCAAAAGAACGCCCCCTTCTGTCCCATCACCCTCCCTGAACAAAAGAAAAGTTTTGGCAAAGACATTTTATTTTTAAGTCATTCAACTGATATGCAAAATGAAACAATACTGCGTCTGCAAATTGAGTAAATATAGGTTAAGTGCTGTCTACTCACTTTCTTCAGGGCACACACTGTGATAACCTTTTCATACTTTGCTTTCTGGAATTCCTTGCCAAATATGATGTTGCTCCGAACAGTACCAGGAAATACCCATGGTTTTTGAGCACAATAAGCTATTTTGCCTTTGATGTTTATGATGCCACTGTCCTTTGACAGTTCTCCAAGTATTGCACCAAGAATGGACGTCTGGAAACAAGAGTTTGATATTAATTATTATTATTAAAAAAATTTGTTAAAACAGAACTTTTTAAATAATATTCATTCAAAGTGTGACAGGGGAATTTCTTTATAGCGCCCTTTGATATAGCACTCCCTCATTTATTGGGTTGGTCTACTGTGAATCTGTGCTAACCAAAAACGCACCCAGTATGCTCACCTTCTGACACTGACTAGCGCTAACTCCCTGTGCTAAAGAATAACCAAATTCTGGGTCAGCAGGGATTCGCTGATAGTATTTTCCTGCATGTCAAACACATGCACAGGAAGTGCTGCTAACATCACTTGCTGTATCGAACTTCCTTTGCATACTGCACAACACACATGCATGGACAGCAGTGGCAATCTGAAAATCCGCAATTGGCCATTTTTTGCCTTAATTTATAGGACAGCTGTTGGAGACATTGGAGGCAGACGTCTATCTATAATGAGATTTCCCTGTATCAGTGGCCCATGACAAATTATCAGTAGCCAACATGTGATAGCAGTTGAAAAAATCACCACCATTATTTTCAGACCACTCCATCAACAGCTCTTGCAGGAAAATTAACATTTAAAAATTCCAATTCTTGAAAAGCTCTATAGAAAGTATAAACACTTCTTAAACAACATGAAAAAGCAGCTAAGGATAAGACAAAACACGTCCATTCAAATACTAAAACTAGAAAACATAGCCTTATAAATAAGAGAAATGGGTTAAATAAGTCAATAGTGCACCCTTTAGATGAAAGTTACAATGTCCAGATACTAAATGACAATATGTTCACATTTTAAAGCTTTGACTGACACTTACTTTACCAGCTCCCACAGGTCCAATCACAGCGAGAAGCTCCCCTGGTTTGACAGTAAACCTAATATTTTGGAGTGACGGAGTTTCTATAGTCTGTCAAACAAAAGTAAAATGAAAGAAATGAGGACAAATCTTAAAGAAGACCTTTGATTATGAAGCACTATTGTTGAGCATTGTTCACTTTTGAATCAAGCAGTTATTTTCCTCTTACTACTATAATTACATTATGTTTGATATAGTGCTTTATCATATCGCCAATATATATCAAAGAATATACTGTAAAGGGATGTGGCTATGTGCGTATTTTGTGGGCGAAACCAGGTACAGTAACCACTGTACATACAAATCACATCCTGAACGTGTTACCATTGGAAACATAACATGGTCAAATTGCAAAGCATTTACATCTCCAATGTCACCAGTCTCTTACTTGATTTTTTAAATAAACTATTTTTATTCACACAACAGTTAAAAGTAGTCAAGATACTCAATTTCAGATTTTGTTTCCTGAAATACAAGTCTGCCCCCTAGTGGAAGCTAAAAGCCTTATACTAATTTTGTCAACGTATAATAATAATCCTTGCATTTGATATAGCCCTTTTCACGTCTTCTAGACATCTCAAAGCATTTCACAGAATATAATGTAAAGTGAATTGACCATATATTTGTGGGCAAAACGCAGCAGCCAATTGCGCACAGCAGTGTCCCACAAACAGTCATGGATTGAAAATGACCAATTTATCATTGTTTTGTTTTAGAGGGAGTATTATTAGGCGTGTAGAGTAAGGAAACTTGCCCAAGATTTCACCCTGCCTGAAATTGAACCCAGGTGTCTCGCTTTTGAGGCGAGTGCTCTAACCACTGAGCTACAGAATTCTGTTTTAAAGACATGTATTATTTCAGAGGTCAGAGACAAGCGCACTATATAAATGCAAGTTGTTGTATTCTGAACCTTGAAAATGCTTCCCCAGCAATTCTTTATTGTAATTCCTATTTGTGCAGGGCTGTGATTGATGCAAAGAAACCAGCTTTAATATACCTGTAACATTATCCCAGTGTTCGAAAACAGAATCAACAATATTTGGGCCAAACAATTCAGCCCAAAAGTTCTGATCCCCAGAAACTTGTCCTGACCCGTTGGAAATTCGCATGGCTTTGCTGCTAACCATGGACAAGACGTTTTAATGTTGCTTCACAAGCCTTTTTTAAAAAAAAACAATTGGGAGGGCGGGTTGGGGGGGATCAGCTAGTTGTCTGACACATGCGGAAACCCATCACTATGTTTAAGAGTATCCAACCCAAGCTGAGATTTCCATGCATCTCACCTACACATGGGAATCCCAGAGATAGATTGTTGGAATAGAATGCACACACTCTCTCTGGAGGGACACATCCTGCTTACCTAATTCCAGAAGGTATTAGGCGCAGGTTCGCAAGAGTCCAGGCTTAGGGACCCCAGAATGTGAGTTGGGGTATTGTTGGAATCTAACCAGCTAAAACCGCATAGCTTGCCATTGATATTGGTTTCCTGCTGCTTGTCCAGCTAGGACCACCTCTACCTGTTACAGCTTTTGCTTGCAGGGTTAACAGGGGCTGAGTGGGATGACTCCCCAGTGACTGGTTATTCTTAAAATGAATCTGGTAACACAAACTGTAGGACTGAAATGCTATGACAATAATGGTGTGCACTGCTTGGCCGGAGAGAATAGAGATGCCAGTGGTCAGAATGTTTGAGTCAGCTTCAGGCCTTGCCATTGTGCCAAAGCTGGGGAGGGGGAAGGTTTTGATCAGTTGATGGCAATTTTTTTTAATGGTGACGATATTACATATTACATCTTGAATTTTTCCTAATTATTTGCTCAAAACATAAGGTTTTTGAGAACTCACAGAGCTGGAAAGTAGTTTGGATGCTTTTAATTATTCATTCCAAAATATTTTCAGCTCATGTTTTGATGCCAAGCGAGTGTAGCTGCATCAAATGTTAATAAACTACCACAAGAGGGCAGTGACCTCTGCACAATTTTCCTTAATGCAGAATAAATATCAGAACAGGATTTTATCATGTAATTCAATAACATTCCCTGAATTTTCATCCAACATTACAATGGGAGGAATTTCTTAAAATAACTCCTTTCTTTTTTGTTAACCAGAAATGTTTTTCCTCAGTATGTGCCCCTACCTCAGACTATATATTCGACTCCTGTAATAAGTATGCAGAAGTAATATTATATAATAATCCTTGCATTTGATATAGCGGCTTATCACGTCATTGAGACATCTCAAAACGCTTCACAAAATATATTGTAAAATGGATTGACTGTGTATTTTGGAGTGAAACACGGCATCCAATTGCGCACAGCAGTGTTCCACTAACAGTCATGGGTTGAGTGACCACATTTTTGGAGGGGAGGGATTATTGCCCCTGGAAAGCAATCCAATCGACTAACAACTGGATTCCTACTTACTGCTAGAAAAATAGAAATGTGTGGAGTGAGGAAACTTGCCTAAGGTTTCGCCCTGCCTGGGAATCGAACCTCTCGCTTGTGAGGTAAGAATACTAACCACACCATGATGGGACTCCACAGCTATCTCTGATTTTCCAGTGGATAATTGTGCGAGATATAATTAATCAAGAAACAATTCCACCAGTTATCTCAGAAAGTATTTATTACAAGCACAAAGTCACGATGATGTGCTTCATCTCCCGTATGGGGACAGGAAATAAAATGACCTTGCTGCCTAATAACTTCCTTTAGAGTTACAGAGCTACAGAGAGTCCTGTAGCTCAGTGGTTAGAGCACTAGCTTTGCAAGTGAGAGACCTGAGTTCAATTCCAGGCAGGGCGAAACCTTGGGCAAGTTTCGTTACTCCACACGCCTAATAATAATCCCTCCAAAACCAAAAACAATAATAAATTGGTCATTTTCAATCTACGACTGTTGTGGGACATTGCTGTGCGCAATTGGCTGCCGCGTTCGCCCACAAATATACAGTCAATTCACTTTACAGTGTGTTCTGTGAAGCGCTTTGGGACGTCCTCCCAACGTGAAAAGCGCTATATCAAATGCAAGGATTATTATTATTATTATAAAGCTTTAGTGAAAGAAAACAGAGTTGCAGTGCACCGCCTTTATAACTTGGTGGTCAGGATCCATAAAATTCCAACCAAGGAGTTTCACTGTCCATGAGTGCAACCAAGCAGCTGACTCACAAAATGCTAACCTGTTCCTGTGCATCGCTGAGTTTCTGGAATGATGACTTAGTGCTTAATGTCTAGGAATTTTCATACTTGGAATCAAAAACAAACTAACCCAGGTTTATCAGTTTTTGGTTTACTCCAAAATTACATTAAATATGTGTGGACAAGACAATTCTTCCCATTTTAGATTTTTGTATCGTCTTTTCACTTCCTCTCCCCCAATTTATCTCCTGCTCGTGTGAAGATTCTGACTCATACTGAGGTAAGCTCCACTGATGTCAGCAAACCTTCATTTCCTGTTACAAGTAATCATTTTCCATTTTTTTGGGTAGTGAGGTCCCTTACATCTGAGTCAGTGGCAAGAGTGCTACCATTGAGTCAGGTTGATAGAGAATTCACTCTCCCCAGAGGGAGACATCCTGCTTACTTAATTTTAGGGAATATTAGGCACAAGTTGGTGAGAGTCAAGGTTCGGGGAGATTCAACCAGCTACAACTCCAACTTGGAGCTTAACGAGTTAAAACTGCAAAGCTTGCAATTGAAAGCACTGTCTGGCAACCGATCTTCATGTGATGTGAGAGCATTTAGGCAAGTGTGACAGGTTATTCAATAATGTATTGGAGGATTACATCAGAACCAGATCCTGTCTTCACTAAATGTAGACATAGCAGGAATGACTGCATGGAGATCAGGAACAGAAGCCCTGCTTCATTTCTCCCTTCCCTGCCTATGGAGCCTAGGACACAGAGATCAATTGTAAATGCTTTTGCTAAGATCACTAACTCAGTACAGACCAGGAAATTCAAATTTGGGACTTCCTTTGCACAGTTCAGCATTAACCAGGCAATACATTTAGACACTCAACCATTGGACCTTATCACTTTTTATAGTTGCATGCATGAAAAAAGGAAGCAATGCATATTCAGATGGCTAACTGGCTAAAAATACATAGTTATAGTTATCTATTAACAATAACCATGAATATACCAGTAGTGCAAGCTTAAGCTTGCCCATGATATTACATTGCACTGACCTTAAAAACAAATTATCAATACATTAGATAACAATCGGTATTTTTCCAAGAAGCAGTAATGACATTAATAAAGGGTGCTCCCAAGTGCTCATTCGCATCATACATCATTTTGTTTAGACTGTGGGCAGTGTGATTAAGTTCATAGTGTGATTTCAACTTGTGTTCGTATTTGATTATTGGGCCTCAAGTCTTTTCTTTTTTTTCTCTCCAACCCCTTTTTCCTCCCCTTCTTCCATCTCACAATATTGCCACACACTATTTGGAAACTTTTAGAGGCTAAAGTCACTACACTTCACAGGAAATCTTGTGAAGAGATGAACTCCCAACATGAAAGGTGCTATATTCAAATGCAAGGATTTTTTTTAAAGATACAATCTCCTCCCAGATGGGAAGTACTATGTGCTAAAACTGATTTCTCAAGCTCTTCATTTTGCCTTGGAACATAATATGATGCTTATGTTAAATATTCAATTTTAAAAAGCAATACCTACAACTGAATGGGGAGAATTTCTAATCATCAGTGGAAATTGAATAACAATATTTAATATTGTTCCATCTGTCCATTAGTTAAACATGATTTTGTAACACAATATGCAATATATTACAAATTCCTAGCACCACGACTCAGAAAAGCCATAAAGTTCAATCAATTTGAGAGACCTTGACTGTAGACAATGTTCAGTATTCATACAGTACCACACATTTATTTTACCTTGTCCCAGTAACAGGTGAGGTCTTGTACATCAACTGAACGATCCTTTTTTTCAATATTATGTGCCTCTTCATGAGGCTTTTTAATTTCTTCAAGAATCAAGAATCTCTATTAGTTTTTTTGAAACAAAAACAAGCCAAGACCATTAGAACTGTTAAGGAAAGATTATAATTTGAAGAAAATAATCATACCCATTTTAGTTAAGTATGCAAATATATGTATTTTAAAAATTCTGGTTACAACTTACAATTTTGTCAACCTGCAAGATAGCTTAACAGAATCTCAAACAATAACATCTATTGCTGTGAGTATCTTTATTTTACATCAGCAGTTCTGCTTTCAAAAACCTGTTTCAGGATTCCCTTCATGTTAGAGATGGTTCATCTTACATACAGTAACAGCAGCACAGAGCTGAAACTTCTATTCTTCTTTCTATCTAACCGTTTTGATTAGAAAAAAGTCACAGAAAATCAATTCCTCTCCATATGTACGTCATCAAGCTTTTGAAAGAGAAATGTTCTCAGCCCATGTCTTTAATCTCACCATTTCACTAGCTTGCCCTGACAAAAGAAAGGTTCCTTTCTTTCCTAGCAATAAGGATTAAAATGAGCTGACTGTTTTTTTTTACTTAGTTACTCATAATATTGCGTCCACAGCAATATCTAGGTAACAGATCTAGATCTGAGAGACCCACACGGATGGTTACCATGAGAAATGTAAATGTTACATGACTGCAGTAGAATATGCACTTCAGAGAATGGCGTAAATACTCACTGGCAGAGAGAGATCTTCACTCTGCAGCTACACGGTATGATTGTCACCTAATTGTCTGAAAACCAAAAGGATTTCACTTTTTAATGCTAAATCCCTGACCCTAAATAGGCCCAGTAATTATTAAAGTTAAAGGATCTTTTGCCCAGAAGAGGTGGGAAAAAGGTAAAAATTAGTCAGTGTTGCACCTTAATACTGCAACATACCTTTATCCTTTTTATGCTGATTAATCCCTCAGAAACTGTCTGAATAGCTGATGGGAAGAACAGGGTGACTGTGAGTCTCACAGCATTGTAAAGTGACACTGTGACAAACACACGGCTTGCTGTAATAGGGTTGCCCAGTAGTACATATACGGTAAATGTAAAGAACAATATCATCTTGCTAGCAATGAAGAACGAGGCCATGTTCAATCCACGCAGATAAGAGCTTTTCAAAATTTGGGATATCTCCTTCCTGAAATGAAAACAAAAGTACAATTATTTGCCTCCTCTACAATGGTAACATTTATGCTAGTTCATGTGAAGGAAATTATTTGGGACTAGCTGTGCCGACTGCAGCTACGCGTGTAACCAGTTTCATTTAATCATCCTTCTCTCTTTCATCTGACATTTTTATTTGTCCTTGAAAGGCATTGATCTTCGCTTCTTAGGCATCTTTATCCCTTAAGATTAAGAAAATGTGCTATTGAAGCATCCCTTGTTCACCTATTTCCACACATATTCTTTTGGGAGGACTTCTGTTGAGAGGACTCAGTAGGAAGACTCAGTGGGAAGATTCCTGGTTGAGAGGCCTCTTGACACAACAGATAGACATTTCATCTTTATTTGTATAGATGTATCTCTCCAGAAGGATGTGTGACCTCTGTCGCTACTGTGTTGCAGAATACCATGCATACCTTTTTGGGGCTTAATAAAAGCACTTTTAAATATATTGTTTAATATAGCTCATCAACGATTGGAAATCACCCCCCACCCCCACCCCACCAAATATGCCCAAGACTCTCTCCCATGCAAGACCTTTCCAATGAGGTATAAATCATGTCTCTACATCAATCGGTTATGTGTTCTTGGCAGACAGACAGACATATTCCCTTTATTAATATAGACTGAAACTCAACTTAAATGCTACCTTGCTGGTCTACCAAAAACTCATTTGGGGGGAATGTTACTATATTTAAATTCTTAAGCGCCAGTTTAAAATCATGATTAATAGGATTGCAGTCATTTGCATTTGTAACAAACATAATGGATACTTATTTTTCTGTACAATACACGGAATAAAACTTTGTGATCTTTTCCCGGAANTTTTTTTAATGAACTGAAATATTTAATCTGATCAAATTTAGTTTAGTCTATCCGATTTAATTTAGCCTGTCTATTCAGCTGGACATATGAAAAGAGAAGGGAGTTTTTCTCATGTCCTGGCCAACAATTCCCCAGATTAAAAAAAAGTCAATCTCTTCATACCTATTGTGGGGCATTACTGTGCACAAGATTGTCTGCTATGTTCACCTACACAGTCACTATACTCTACAGTAAATCCTGTGAAATACTTTGAGACATTATAGAAATATAATGAAACATTATCAAGTGCAAGGGTTATTATTAATAGGCATCCCATGCATATGCCAGTTACACAAACAGCACTTTACAGAAGTAACTACTTATGAATCTGACCCAACCCAGCAACAGAACAATCAGTGGTAGCCTCAAAGGACAATTTTAGCCAAAAAAAACCTATTGTAAATACTTACTTTCTAATTTGATCAATCAAATTAGCAAAAGGCTTTTCCCATGCATACATCTTGATGATTCGCATTGCCGATATAACCTCATTCATGGTGCGAATCCTATTATCTGTCAACACTGCAGTCTTGCCTCTATGAGTAAGAATTTGGGAAATAGAAAAAAAATCTGTAACAAGTTTCAGGATTTTTTGTAGTATCTTAGTGTTTTCAATGACTAAATAGACAGAAGCTTAGTAAATGATTTTTGATAAGTGTTACCGTTTTGGGTTTAATTTGTGATGCAGCAGTTCCAGGTATAACATGGACAAGCAGTTTGACAAGAAATAACTCGGATTTTATTTCTAAAGGACAAATCAAATGAGAAATCCAAAGCAAAATAAGCTATGATAAGGCAAGAAAGGAATGCACTTTTCCAGGCTGATAACGTAAAACAATGGCTATTTATACTTATGTTGATAATGGCACTGATGTTATCAGTCTAATCTAGCAGGTCTGACAATCGGGCAACAAAAGGTTCATTCTACATCATTTCTTTTCCCCCCACCCCTCCCCTCCATTGAAATGCTGCAGGAGTAATGCATTGTCAGAAGTGTCATCCTTTGGTTAAGACATTAAACCAAGATATCTGCTTGCTCAAGAGACGAAGATCCCACAACACTATTCGAAAGAGAAAGTGTCCTAGTTAACACTCCCGAAAGTGACCTAGTCCCAGCTAAAATTAGTCATCAGTTATTGTGCAGAAATTGGCTTCTGTGTTTGCCTTCAAACACATTGCAACTACACTTCACTGCAACTTCTGTGAAGTGTTTTGAGACATTTCAAATGTTCTAAGCGCAACATCAAATGTAAGGATTAATTTATTCAATTAACTTTTCACATTTCACTGTAATAATAGCCCCTCTTCGAATAATCATACCTTAGTACCGAAAACAGTTTTCCACAGATAGTTTGCACAGGCATCAGAATAAGCAGTATAACCACTCCTGCCAAGCACGATGGCCCTATTTCCTGCCAGAGCAGTGCTATTACGGCAATGGCTTGCAGTGGCCCAACCCATAGGAAATGCAAGAATATAGTCGCCTACATTAATTAGGATGAAAAGTAGCCAGGGTTAAACACAACAAATATTTTGGACATGCCTATATATTAATGAAATGTTTCTGGTATGCATAAACACACACAAAACATACAGAAAGGATTTTATTAAAATAACTGTATAAAGATGACAATTTTGGTAAAATTAAGACACCAACAACAACTTGGATTTATATAGCGCCCTCCACGCCAGACAGAGTCTCAGAGCGCTTTACAGTAACAGATCCCGTGATTGAGCCGGGGGAGGGGGAGGAAGATGACCAAAGGCGCGGTCGAAAAGAAAGGTCTTCAGCAGAGACCTGAAAATGGAAAGGGAGGAAGTGAGACGAAGGGAGTGTGGAAGGCAGTTTCAGAGCCTCGGGGCATAGTGGCTGAAGGCACGGCCGCCGAGGGTGTAGCGGAGGACTGGGGGACGAGGAGGCCAGACCCGGAGGAACGAAGGCAACGGGTAGTGTTTTGAGGAGAGAGGAGGTCAGAGAGGTAGGGAGGTGCAGAGGAGTGCAGGGACTTGAATACGAGGGTGAGGATTTGGGATGGTAGTGGATGGGAGACTGACGAGGAGGGCATCAGAGTAGTCCAGCCGAGAGGTGACAAAGGCATGCACCAGGGTTTCAGCAGCTTTTGGGGAGAGGTATTGGCGGAGACGGGCAATGCGTCGGAGACATCGAATTTTATCTGAAAAAATACATTAAAAGCACAAGTATTTCTAGAGGGTTAAAAAGAGGCGCAGCTTGCTTCACACTGACTGAACTTTTCAAGAATCCAGCTTAAAATCTAATTGGCTGTCGATGGGAAGTCTCCTCTGTGTGCTGCTTCAACCTAAACTCTATCATGAGGTTCAATTATTGCAACATCCCCAATGTCACATTAGGTGCATATCTTACCTGATCAAACTTGTTTACATCATTCGACAACAGATTTACTATTTGACCTGTAGTTGTTTTTCCCAATGCAACATTATTGAGACGAAGAGCCTGAAATGTACAGAACACAAAAAAGTAAGTTTCTCTACATGCAATACAAGGAGGTGATATGCAAGCTGCAATCCTTTATCTGCATTCATTGTTGTTGTTACATTTAATTCAATGGAAAATATCTTAAGTTTATGAAGTCTATTTCAAAGCTCATCCCATTCTCTGTAACCACAATAACATTGAGCATATGGTCCTGTATCACAGCAGACCATCAAAAACACCATCTCAAATAAAAAGAGGTACTGTCAAGAGCAGCAACAGTGTAAATCTACTAAATTGTGCTTTTGGAAATTAAAAAGCTTCAAAACATAATTCCCAACATAACCATTGCCTTTTAGAGTGTCTACTGTCTCCAGTCTTTGTGTGGTGTGTTCAAAATGTTGATGAAGGTACACAGTTGTTTCAATGATAAGTCATTAGTGTTTACAGCATTTTCCTGCTTCTATGATACTTGCATTTGATATAGTGCCTTTTTAGATGTACCAAAGCTCCTCACAGAATATACTGTAAAGTGAATGTACATTTTGTGAGTGAAAACCGCAAAGCAATGTCCCACAAACAGTCAGGGATTGAGTGACCAAATTACTATTATTTTTTATTTAGTTTTTGGAGGGATTATTACCCCTGGAAAAGGAATCCGCCAATCCGCTGTGGAATCCTGTACAACAACAAGATTCCATTTATTGAGCGCCTTTCACGTCGGGAGGACGTCCCAAGGCGCTGTACAGTTGGGTCAGGACCCGAGCAGGGGGGAAATGGTCAGGGTGAGGGAAGGGAAGGGAGGGAGCGAGGAGGGGGTAGAGAGTCGAGAGGGGAGCTGAAGGCACGGTCAAAGAGAAAGGTCTTGAGACCCGCCTTGAAGGAGGAAAGGGAGGAGGCGGCGAAGGCACTGGGGGATAGAGTGACAGAGCCTCGGGGCTGAGAGGCTGAAGGCCCGGCCACCGATGGTAGGGCGGTTGGGGCGGGGGATGTGGAGCAAACCGGAGCCAGAGGAATGGAGGGTACGGGCAGCTAGGTAGGGGGATAGTAGGTCGGAGAGGTAGGAGGGAGCAAGGCCGTGAATGGCCTTGTAGGTGAGGATGAGGATCACCCCTGTAGCTCAGTGGTTAGAGCACTCGCTTTGCAAGCGAGAGACCTGAGTTCAATTCCAGGCAGGGCGAAACCTTGGGCAAGTTTCCTTACTCCACACGCCTAATAATAATCCTTCCAAAAAAACAAAATAATAATAAATTGGTCATTTTCAATCCATGACTGTTTGTGGGACATTACTGTGTGCAATTGGCTGCCGCGTTCGCCCATAAATATACAGTCATTTCACTTTACAGTATATTCTGTGAAGCACTTTGGGACGTCCTCCCGACGTGAAAAGCGCTATATCAAATGCAAGGATTATTATTATTATTAATCGACTAAAATCCAGGTTCCTACTTACTGCTAGATAAACAGAGGCATGTGAAGTAATGAAACTGGCCAACGTTTTGCCCTGCCGGGAATCAAACCCAGGTCCTGTCACTTGTGAGGCGAGTGCTCTAACCACTGATCTATGACAATCAAACCTCAGTATCAACATCATAACTTATCAGAGAAACGTTAAAAAGATCTTCAGCAAAACTTGGACAGATGCCAGACCACAAATATATTACAAATGTAGTATGTACTTTCATATCCTGAAAAGGAACAACAGTATTTTTTGGTGAAAAACACCATTAGTAAAACACTTTAAAGTTCATCTATTTTTTTCTCCCCAGAGGCACACCATTTTGATTGGCAAATGTATTCACCGAGAGAAAAAACATTATACTTAAGCACTGTGCTACAATAAGTGTAAATTTTAAAATTTCCCTGATTAAAATACAAAATCTGTTGTAAACACAACTTTCTATATATTGTTATTACATAGCCAAGAAATTTATTCTTTTGAAATTTGAGCATAAAAATATTAGTTATCGTTTAAAATGTTTGACATTAGCACCACAGGCTGTCTACAGAAAAACATTAGTAACTCCAGTTGGAATATACAGTGCCCAACTTTACAACTTTAGTATCTTGGCATCAAAGTCTGTAGAACTCATAATCAGCACGCATATTTAGAGTCTGAAGTCCTTAGAAAATCCAACTTTTAAGAGCATCCAGTTATACATTACACATTGCAAATTCAAGATCCGTGCATATATGTGACTTGTTTCTCCATAGTTCTGAATGACTGCACTTTCAAAACCTACCTTTCTATAAATCATATGACACATTGCTACTCTCAGCTTCATTCCAGCCCTTTGTACGTGGAAAAAATACAGGTGATGTAGAATGGCCAGTGCCAGTGTACAAAGCGACACACCACCAGCATAGCTAAAGGCAACGCCTCGTTTTACAACATCATCAGGATCGTTGTTTTCAAAGTAGAGAATGATTTTCCCCAACAGAATAGGCTGAGCAACTCTGATTGTTTCCTGTTCAAGAAAAAAACAAAATATACACACATAGAAACACACAAATTATACATTTAATTATCCTTACCTATTTTCCTGGTTTCGTACATTTTAAAAGTTTACCTTTATAAAGAGTAAAAAGCTATGCAATGCAGCCTTTGATTATTAGCCCACCAAAAATGGTACACACAATGGGGCTTTCTGTGCTGAAAGTGTCTTGTTTTGATGCAAAACTGTTATTCATTTAAAAAATAATTTGAAAACCCAATAAATTTATTTTAGTTACACAAATACAGCTGATATAATTGTCATATAAGCCAAGCAACTTTGTTTGGAAGTTGGAAGGGCAGGTTATCTGGATTAATGGTGTACTTGTGCCTCAAACAATTACTAGATTTTGCATATGTTTGATTCTCTTTCAGCCCTGACTTGGAGTGGTCAAAAAGCAGCATAAGCTTGTTTTCCCATTTCATGTGCCAATACTGTTTGGAAAAAAACTGATTTGTTCCAGTCAGTATAACCCAAACTGAACTCTCCTCATCCAGTGCCCTACTTAACTAGGACACTTATCCATCTGTGAACTCATTACTGTCTCATCATCATTAACTTTTGTGTCAGCTGTTATGTTCTCAACAAACAAGGTGTAGGATTGGAGCGAGGATAGGAGTGATGTGCTCGCAGAGAATTTTGAGAGAGAAGACACAGGCTGCAGCTCGTTCAGGGAAAAGCTGGGGAGTCAGGCTCCGTGAGATTTAAAAAAATACTTACCTCTACAAACGTGAATGCCCCTAATACAATGTAAGACTTCCAAAAACATTTTAAAATGGCTTTGCCAAGATGGGGATTTCGAGCCTCTTTTTCAGCCACCTGGACTTCTTGATCCCAATGCCTGTTTAAAAGATTAACAAGAACCAGTAGTTGCAAAAAATACTTATTATGCATGAAATGAAACACTGAACCAGAATGGAGGATCTTTACAGTCAGAAGCTGCCATCAAGATTTACTTCAGTGATTAAGGACAAAACCAGGAGGTATTTGGGGTTTCTGTTCAGGTGACTATTGCAGGCTCGTGTACTTTATAGTCATCTTGCAATTAGGTCTCCAGGTTGGCTGCAAATATTAACCTGATGTCACTTAAACTACGTGGTCATTTTTTCCAATTAGCTAAAGCCATTGTTCTAAATGCATCAGTTGTTACATTTAAATCCTTGCAGGATTTACTGTCCTCCTGGAGGGATTCGCATTAAAGGATTCACGTCATTAAGAATGACTTAACTGTCTTCAGATGGCACATTGATACCGCCACTGCCAGTTAGTTGCCAGTGCTTATATAGCACCCAAGAGGTTCAAATTGTGGCAGAGCAGCAGGTGGATTGCAGGAGAGTGCAAGATCTTGAGATATTTTGGATCTGCATAAATGGCACCAATCTAATGGAAGTGGAAACACACCACATCAACAAATTGTATTTATGTAGCGCCTTTCACATCGTAACAAGGCGCTATGAATAACAGGTGATCCCAAATCATTAAGATTAATCGGCAGTTAATACAATACACTGTTGAACAATGAATATTTTGTTATTTAGATCCAAAGTTATCAAGCGAAAAAAAAAAATTCCTTCAATTACCTTTGCAATTCCTCTCCCAACATCTCCGAGCCATCTTCTGGAAGCACTTTGTACATATCTTCCTCCTCGAGTCTCCTTCTGTATCCAATTTGAAAAAGTGGATTTAACCAACTGCAAACGAAGAAAATTAAAGACATTGTGGATAAATTGTGGACATTGTGGATAGCAAGCTGGCTACAAAACAGAAAACAGAAAGTAGGGGTAAAGGGTAGCTACTCAGACTAGCAGGGGGTGGGCAGTTCATAATATACATTAATGATTTGAACTCGGGAATCAGCAGTACAATTTAAAAAATTGCAGACAACACCAAATTGGGGGGAGTAGTTAATACAGAGGAGGACTGCAACAAATTATAGCAAGACATTAATAAACTTGCTGAATGGGCATTTAATTGGCAAATGCATTTCAATGTAGAAAAGTGTGAGGTGGTACATTTTGGTAGAAGGAATAAGGAAGTCGCATACATCCTGGAAAATAAAAACCTAAATGCGGTAGAGGAGCACAGGGATCTAGGGATATACATACACAATTCACTAAAAGTAGCAATGAAGGTTAATAAGGCCATAAAAAATGCAAAACAGGCACTGGGGTTCATTTCTAGAGGGATAGAACTGAAAAGCAGGGAAGTTATGGTAAACCTCTATAGACCCTTGGTTGGACCACACTTAGAATACTGTGTGCAGTTCTGGTCCCCACATTATAGAAGGGATGTAGAGGCACTGGAGAGGGTACAAAGGAGATTCACAAGGATGATCCCAGAACTGTGAGGCTATACCTATCAGGAAAGGCTGAACAGCTTGGACTGTTTTCTCTTGAAAAGAGGAGGGTAAGGGGTGACCTGATAGAGGTCTTTACAATTATGAAAGGTAGACATAGGGAAGATGTTTCCACTGGTGGGTGAGACCAAAACCAGGGGCCGGCAATATAACATAGTCACAAATAGATCAATTAGGGAAGTTAGAAGAAATTTCTTTATAGAAAGTAGTGGGAATGTGGAACATGCTACCACAAGGAGTTGTAGAGGCAAATAGCACAGATGCATTTAAGGGAAAGCTAGATAGGTACAAGAGGGAGAAAGGAATAGAAGGTTATGCTTGAAGGATTAGTTAAGGAAGGACAGGAGGAGGCTCATGTGGAGCATAAACACTGGCACAGACCAGTTGGGCCAAATGGCCTGTTTCTGTGCTGTTTATTCTAATGTATTCTAATTACAGGGTATTTTCAAGTAGTTCTTAATCTTTGCAAATCTCTCCCTTCGATTACCTTGGCTGTACACAAGTGGAAATTAAATACATTAATAAATTACCAACATTGCAAAGACCTCCATAAAGGCAAAATACTTGCCACCACTTATATGCCAGGACATTATTGGGAAAGTGACCAACTGAGGCAATTTCTCACATGACACTTTCTTATAAAAGTCAATCTTATGAACAATTAATTTTGTTTTACTGTGTAGTGATGTCCGAACAACTTCGTAAAAATTTTGTTTTGCTCCCAAACTATGTTCCCAATTTGAATCACCCAGCAGAAGATGTTGGTACAGACCAAATATTATCAACCGCCTTTTTTGCTTTGGAAGAGATTCTTACATTTCCAGGAAATGAGAGAACTGGATTGGTTATTATTGAGGCTGTAAGATAGTTGTGATCTATCAGTCCAAATGTTGTGGCTACAGTTTGTTAAAGTTGTGATTTTGTGCCATTAGTTCAAGTTCTAACACGTGAATACGCGGTCCCATTGTACCATCAAGCCCATCCATCAACCCAATCCTGCACTCCCATTATGCCAACCTATAAAACACTTGCCTCCTGCTCAAAAACCCCCAGACAAAAGGTCATTGACTTGAAACGTTATCTCACTTTCCTCTCTCCATAGGTGCTGCCTGACCTGCTGAGTGTTCTCAGCAACCTCTGGTTTTATATCAGATTTCCAGCATCTGCAGTAATTTGCCTTTTATTTGAAGGGTTGTTGATTAGGACACTGGGAGAAGGCCCCTTCTTTTTTTGAATAATGCCATGGGATTTTCAATGTCTTCCTGAACAGGTAAATGGGACTTGGTTTAATGTCTCATCCGATGCATGAATGGTCACAAAATGAGAGATGTGGGCACGAACAAAAGGTTTCAGGCGAGTGCACTTAAATACAGTGTACATTTCTTTTTGCTTAGGTTTAAACCAAGATCTGCTTGCCATAAATTCATACACTTTAGAAATTCTACAATGTTTTACTCTGTAACATTTAGTAAACTGAATTTCACATCAGTTCTATCACTTGTTCTATCAATTAAATTAAAAAACTGAGGCTCAATTGAAAAACAAAACGGCCCTAGGCCCAATTGAATGTACCAGATTACAATTTTTACACTCGACACTTCATTCAGTATTATACAATGTAGAAAGTCAGTTTATTCTGATTGAACCCCTAAACACTTTCAGAGCAACTTGACGCAAGGAAAGCAAAGTACACAACAAAGCTAATTGATACTCTGTGGATAAGCTCCCAGCAGTCTGAAGTAGCTCCATTAATTAAATTAGATTAAAACACTCCATGTCGCAAACTGCTTCTCCCATATCATATTCTTACCTTCAGGCTATCAAAACCCTCATTCATATCTAGTCTCGACTATGCCAACTCCCTGTTTGCCAGGCTTCTCAACTCTTCCCTGCACAAGCTGCAGATCATCCAGAACTCTGCAACTCATGTCCTCTCCCGCACGAGACTCCATGACCCCATCACACCTACTCTCGCATGGCTCCACTGGCTCCCCATTCCTCAGAGGATCAAGTTCAAAATCCTCAACTTCAAGGCCCTCCATGGACTTGCCCTTTCCTACCTCTGTGTCCTGCTAACCCCTTATCAACCTGTCCACTCCATCCGCTCAGTGGGTTTTGCCCTGCTGCATGAGCCCTCGGCCCGCCCACCATCGGAGGTCGGGTCTTCAGCCTTTCTGCCCTCACCCTTTGGAACTCAATCCTCCTCAATTGGATTAGTTTATCTATTGCGCTCAATTTTCATGTAATATATCCCCCCAACTCTTTCATTGCTTACTAATAGCCCATCAGGAACAATTGAGACAGCAATACTTTGCATTGCTTCCATCTTCTGGTTCAAGAACATTTGTTTCCTTGAATTGAAGAGGGTATATTAATGTTGCCATAACAATTCAATTAGCAAAAAAAACATGTTATTCTTGTTAAAAGTTTGCTTTGCGTTCCCACTGGATAGGCCAAACAAATGTTTGACTGGAAGCTGTTGACAACAAACTCAATGCACAGGAGACTATTTGCACCTGAAACCTTATTGACATTGTGTTGTGGATGCAAACAAAATACTTCATGGTTGGTGAAGCGCTGAGCACACATCGTAAAGGTTGACTCTTGATTTAGGTACAATGAAAATAGGAGGCAGGACCTAAAATATTGAATATTGTAAAGCAAACCTAAAAAATGTGAGCAGAAGTTTAAATTATTTTTAACTGAATATAAAACAATGAGCAACAGTGAAGCAACATGGTAATTAAGTTCGTAATCCAATGAATGAATAGGATTAGACTTTCCTTTATTTCAGCTACATTCCAATTCATTCACATGACCCATTAATCCAGTGATCTGAAGTTCAGTGCCACTTATTAAAAAACACGTCATTAAAAAAAATGCAGCACGACATAGATAGGTTAGGTGATTGGGCAGGTAGGTGGCAGATGAAGTATAATGTAGGGAAGTGCAAAGTCACCCACCTCGGTAGCAAAAACAGTAGAGCGGGTTATTTTTTAGAAGGGGAGAGATTGGAATGTGTTAGTGTCCAGAGGGACTCGGGTGTCCTTGTACACCAATCACAGGAAGTTAGTCTGCAGCTGCAGCAGCAATTAGGAAGACGAACGGTATGTTAGCATTCATTATGAAAGGATTAGAGTATAAGAGTAGGGAAGTCTTGCTGCAACTGTATAGGGCCCTGGTGAGACCACACCTGGAATACTGTGTGCAGTTTTGGTCTCCTTATTTAAGGAAGGATGTACTTGCCTTGGAGGGGGTGCAGCGTAGATTTACTTGGTTAGTGCCAGGGATGAAGGGGATGAGTTACGAGGATAGGCTGACCAATTTGGGCCTATATCCTCCAGAATATAGAAGAATTAGAGGGGATCTTATAGAAACCTTAAAATCAGAGGCCAGGCCTTTCGCACTGAGTTGAGGAAGAACTTCACTCAAAGGGTGGTGAATGTATGGAACTCACTATCTCAAAGGGCTGCTGGCACTCAGTCCTTGACATACTCAAGACTGAGATAGATTTCTTATTGCAAAAGGGATTAAGGGATATGGGGATAAGGCAGGGTCAGGTTATTAGCTGGAGTTAGATTAGAAGATCAGCCATGATTGAATGGCGGGGCAGGCTCGAAGGGCCGAATGGCCTACTCCTGCTCCTACATGTTATGTTATAATACATTAATGGAACTGCAATTTAATGACAGATCCACCTCCCTGGTTTGGCAGATGGTGTCAAATCAGTTTGACTAGAATCAAACATGAAAGGAAAGCTCCTGGGAACCTGGCGCAAGTGCACTATAGGCAGATTCATCTACAAAAGACACAGTCAATTTACTTCACAGTATATCTGTGAAGCACTTTGAGACGTCTCAAAGACTTGATAAGGCACTATATCAAATGCAAGGATTATTATTATTAAAGAGGGATCATTATTGAAATCCATTTTATAAACCCATCAGTAATGTCTGTTTGATCCTGGAGTTTTCTCTTAAATGTAATAGTATTAAGTATAAAGCGTTAAATGCAATCTTCAAACACCTGCCTTCAGCGTGGTGGGAGGACCTTTACAGGACAGCTTGCAATGTGCCAGCCGAGGTGCAAGTCCAATGCCGCGTACTAGGCTTACTCAGCTTTGGCAAACAGCTGTTCCCACTGTGAAGCAGACTCTGCCTCCAGGGAGCTAAGTGACAGGTCAGTTTAGGCCAAAATCCTCGCTTCCTGCAGCCACTTCTTGTGTTTGTCACAAAACTATCTGACTGTTTGGTCCTGGACTTCGCAAAAGGGCTGGAGGAAGCCTCTCCCCTGCTAACTGAACCTCAGTTTAAAGTCAGATACAAAGGATGGCAC